GTCTTCACAATCTGCACTCTCCCCAGCCCTTGCTCCACTAACCTCCTGTGCAAGGTGTCTCTTAACTACAGAGCCTCGGTCATGCCTGTACGTTAGCTGTAGGCATTTTGGAAAGGAAACTCTGATGGGCTGATGCTGGCCCATGGGATCGGGGTGGGGCGTTCCCTACACAGGAAAAAAAAAAAAAAAGGAGTTCAGAGTCTCCAAAACACAAAAGAATGGCAGATGCTCTCTAATGTGTGGCAGACCAAAGCATACAGATCGTTAGGGGCCTAGTATGAAGGAAGGAACCAGGGCTGCAGAAACGAGGCTCATCTGTGCATAATTGCCGGAGGATTTCCTGGGAGATATGGACAAATATTGATGGAGCCTAGATGGCAGCAATACCAAATAGGACAATAATTGCACCGAGGGCCAATGTGGAAGACTGATGAGTTTATTGGGCTTGTGGGCTGAGGGGTTTCTTACAGCAATCTGTGTTACCCCGGAGTGGTGATTTGCCAAAGCCTCTCACGCCAGCATAAATGGGGACTTCCTCATAGCCACATTTGGAAGCTAGCTGGGTTAAGTTTCCATTCTCTAGATACTCAAGGACCTCCCCTGCCTCCAGAACACATGCAGCTGAGGTAGAATTACACAGAGATGGCAGGGATGGACAGAAGCAGCAGCAGAGGTCTAGACTAGCGACCCTCCCTTCTGCTCTTTCTATGAGGGGCTATCAGCAGGCCGGAGTTTAGCAGCCCTTTGAGAACGGTCGCAGCTGGTTGGGAGAGGACGACTGCTATGCTCAGAGGCCGTTGTTCTGTAGAAGGGGCAAAGATGAAAACGAGCAAGACCACGTAGAGGGATGGTTCTTATTTCTATAGCTTGTGCTTTGAACGCTATCAGAGTTTCCCGGGGATGCCATAACAGATTACTACAAATGGGGTGGCACAGGACAGCAGAAACCTACTGTGGACAATTCCAGAGCTGGAGCTCCAGAATCAAGATGCTTCCAGGGCTGAGCTCACTCTGGCAGCTGTAGGAGAGGATTCGCCCTTGCCTCCTCTCATCTTCTGTAGTGGTTGCTGGCAATGGCTGCTCTTAGGCACATCATTCCAGCCTGTGCCTGTGCTCGCCTGGGTCTCTTGGTGTCTGTGTGCAAGGCTTGCTTCCCACAGTGGCACCAGTCACACTGTATTACAAAGTCCCAACTGAAGCCCACAGGGCCGTATCTCATTCAGTGCTCGCTTTATGAGTTCTGTTTACAAGTGAGGTCACACTCAAGGTTCTAGTAGGGAATCTCCAGAACAGTTAAACTGTGCATCGCCGTAACGTTCCTGCATCAGGCCTCTGAGACAGAAATGAAGAGAACGAGGTAGAAAACGAGTGTGAGTTTTTGCTGATCTCTGCAGTCTTTTAAGCCCAAATGAAAACTCCACATGGATTTTCTGGCTTTGGGTGTGGAGCAGAGGGTACAGGGTCTGCACTTGTGCAGATTTTGGTCCCAAAATGGAGAGTAGAGAAAGATGCCGGATCCACAGAAGAAAGGGCTTTCACTTAACATGGAAGCAGTGGCCTTCATAGACAGCTAAGGAGAACTGCGAAAAAGCGAGGGTCTCAGACTGGAATTTAGGGCGGGAAAGAAGAAGCTGGGGACTGGAGGGCACACTCCAATAGGTGGACCTTTTAACTAGCATATCTGCACTCACAGCCCATCTTTGCTCCCTTTGACATGGTGACACGTGACCCTGATCTTTTTTAATTAATTGTAAATTGAGTCGAGAGGCTGACTACATAGTGACTCTGAGAATTTAGCGGGGGCTGTGTAGAGAGTCCCAGCACAGTTCCAGCATGCTGCACCCATAACTGGGAATTAGCATCAGACAGCCAGAATTTCAAAGAGCCTACCCAGGCTGTGAGGCAGGACAGACTGGGCTATGCTGCTGTGGCAATTCACTCCTAGATCCCAGCGGCTCCCACCGCCAGGGCTTTACCTCTCACTCACATTACCCGCCCATCATGCTTTGCATAGGGATCCTCTTTGTTCCAGCTTTCGTGTGAAACATCGCTAATTCCTACTGCAGAGAGGAGATTCGTGGTCTTACTTCTCAACTCTCTCACCTGTAAGTGGCCAGTGTTGCTTCTTACCATGTCAATGGGCCATTGTAAGTCATATGATGACTCTGAATTCTAAAAGGGGAGGGGAATACTTGTGTGCACGAGAAAAACCAGGAATGTGTGACACTAATGGTTATCACCTCAGGTGTCACTTTGTGACCCCATCCAAATGGGGCCAGTTTGCTAAGATATTATTCTTACATCCCAATTCTTCGCTGGAGGTAAATTATAAAGGAAAGGGGGTATTGAATAATTAATATTTCCATTAAATAGTCCTACTGGAATTAAATTCTGCCTGGTGATTTGTTAGAAAGCTGCTGGTGTTGCATTCCTAAACCTTGAACTCTGTCCACGGCATTGCTGTAAAGGGCTACTTTGGGCCAACTACTGACTTGCTAAATGTTAATCTGGAATACTGCAGAACAGCGGCTTCCATTGCCCATGGCTTCATGTTACTATCTGCTGTCTAAGCACATCTGGATGTAAGACAGCTAAAGGACAGTCAAACTAAAGTCATCAAAGTATTGAACTAGAATCCCTCTGTCTGGCACTGAACCAGAAGCTGAGCTCTGATGAACTTGGACCACCTACCACTTAATTTACCTTATAATTATTATAAGGTAAATTATTATTTATTTATTATTAATTATTTAATTATTAATCATTATATATTATTATTAATTATTATTAATTATTCAATGCCCCCTTTCCTTTATAATTTACCTCCAGTGAAGAATTGGGATGTAAGAATATTATCTTAGCAAGGAAATTACCTTTTCACTTAATTTCCAAAATCTGAACTGTGAACACAATTACCTTCAAGCAGCGACATGTATTCAGAACTGAGAAATTTCTAGAACTTGGACTAGACAGAATCATGGGGAGTTATCAAAAAACATGGCGACGTTCTGATTGCTCAGTGGCAGAGGGACTCTCTCTCCATCCGGGGAAGGAAAATGAGGATGAATTTTTCATGAGTTATCATCCCACATGGCCAGTGTGACCCACCCCTGATATAAGCCTTCATTCTACTCTGTGAGCGCCCCATGTGAGTGTCAAGCAGGCACTATAGTGCTTCTTCTCCTGCCTCAGAATCAACAACATGAATGAGGTGCACACTGATTCATGGTGCCCACCCAGAACCTGTGTGAGGCACTAGGAGAGGCCGGGGCAGCAGGTTTTTCAGTCAGGCATTGTTAGAGCGGTGGCATTAGCGATGGAACCCAGCTCCAGGTTTCAAAAGTCAGTGTGAGTAATTCCTAGGACCTCTCTGATGAAACTGTAAAGCATGTGCCCTGCTATGCAAAATGAGAGTGAATTAGGGCCAGCAATGGTGCGCCAGGTCAAGCTTTCTCTTCTCCTTTCCAGTCTCCAAGTCTGTTCTTTCTACTAGCTCAACCTTTCTGAACCACCATCACTTTCTTCATCATGCAGCTCAGGATTAGTTATTACTCATATTATACCATTCCTGGAATAATATAAGTGTTTCCCAACTTCTTTTTCTCCTTGTTCGAATAAATGTCTCATTCCCAGAGAAGCGTAATCCCCAGTCAAGCTGGCTAAAACCGTTCTAAGATAATGTGGCTGCATAGCCCTTTTCCTCGGTTTCTGGGTTTGTGGGGTTGTTGCTATTGAACAGTCTTACTATAGCCCAGGCTAGCCTCAAACTCTGGATCATACCAAGAGTATCCACTGCCATGCCTGGCTCCATGATGTTTTAATCCAGATGCATCATGTTCAAATATAACCATACCCAGGAAACAAGAGACATCTTTTTTTGTATGTTTCGGAAGGAGAAAATCTTTCCCAGCAATCCCTCCTAGAAGGTTTCCCTTCAGGTCTCATTAACAAATTCCCATCAGCCAAACTTAAGCCCATAATTGGGAAGAAGAAAAAAGGCACCTGTTTGGCCCAGACCAGGAAGAACCCACTCACTGGACCTGGTATGGTTATCCACCTGGAAGAGGAGACACATACAGTCAATGGGAAGTTCTTATTGAAAGAAGAAAGGTGAGGAGGCTGCTGTAGGTTAGGAATTCATTGTCTGGTACTCATTGGATGCCCTGACCTGTTGGCGGAGGCCGCCCAAACCTGAAATAATCACACAGGAACTGTATTAATTAAAACACTGCTTGGTCTATTAGCTTAGGTTTTTTTTATTTACTAACTCTTACATCTAAAATTAACCCATTTTTATTATTTTATATTCTACCACAAGGCTAGAGGTTTACCAGGAAAGGTTCTGGCTGACTGCTCAAGTCTTTCTCCTCCAGTGGCTACATAGTGTCTCTCTGACTCTGCCTTCTTTCCTCCTCTGTCTGCTTGGAGTTCCCTCCTTGCTCTTATTCTGCCCTACAATAGGCCCAAAACAGCTTCTTTATTAACCAATGGTATTCGCAGCATACAGAAGGGAATCCCACATCACTGATGGGACTCTGCTATAGACAGCTGCAAGGGCCTGTTGATGACTCAGTAGTAATCCTGCTTTGCATGAGAATCCTGATCAAGGCTCCACCAGTTTTTTTCCTGCTTTTGCATGTTCGTATCTCAGCCATGCTACTCCAATGCTTCTGCTTTTGATACCTCAGGCCCCTGACTATAACTGGCTTCCAACTCTGTTATTCTTAAGTGCCTCATGCATACTTCCCAAGAGTTCTGCCTAGTCCTGCATTCAATTTGTACAGCCTCGACTCATTTTATAACGCTCACTCTTGTGGCACTTTGAATGAGAGTGGTCCCCCAGTAGACTCATGTATTTGCATGCTAAGTTCCCAGTTAAGGAACTATTGGAAAGGATTAGGAGGTGTGGCCTCAATGGAGTAGGTGTGGCCTTATTGAAGGAGGTGTGTTGTCGGGGGTGGGCTTTAAGGTTCCCAGTGCTCACATGCGGCCCAGTCTCTATGCCTGCTGCCTGTGGGTGAGGATGTATGTAAAGCTCTCAGCTTCTTCTCCAGCTCCAAGCCTGCCTACATGCTGCTACGCCATGATGAGAATAGACCAACCTTCTGAAACTGTAAGCCTCCCTTTATAAGTTCCCTTGGCCATGGTGTCTTTTCGCAGCAATGGAACAGTAACGAGGACAGCTCTCCAGGTCACTTCAAGTGAAGTCTTTCCCTTGACACAGGAGATTTCCCTCCTTCCTGCTTTGTGCCTTTTATGTAATTCTGTCGTTGCCACTTTAACACACTGCTGCATTATTTTCTAACAGGCCTCTTCCTACATGCCTTTTTCCTCCTGCCAAACAGCCATGCTTGATTCCTTTTCACACTCCCAGCACCTAGAAGTGCCTGGCACAATGAACAGTAAGACACACTTAATAGATGTCTGATGAAGGAAGCAGCGCTTGAGGTTCGGGGCCAAGTGATGGTGTCAGAGTCTATTCCTGCCTTCTGAAGAGGGGCTAACTGCAGGAAGATAAGGTAAAAGTGGCCAATATGCTTTGGAGATTCTCCAGTCATAGAGAATTGTTGTGAAATAATAGGTAAAAGGGTGGGTAGCATATGAGAGATACATTTATCTATCCCCTGCTGGAATACCAGGAGAATAAAATACGAGTACTCATAAAAATTAATTCTGCATTATTTAAACACGGGCAGCCCTCAGGGTGAAAGGAAGTTACGCTGCACAGCAGATACAGAATTCTGTCTTATGAGGAGCTGTTGTGGCAGAATTCTGCCATAATAAAAGTGCTAATTATCTGAACAAGACTTAAGTCCAAGCTGCAAAGGCTGCAAAAGGAATCTTCTGCAACCCTTGAGATAGTTAGTGGTGTGATTGACAGCAGAAACTGGTACAGTTTCCACACTGAGTTACTGCTCAGCCAACCTGCCAGGTTGTAGTTCGCCCTCCAGCAGAGTTGAGTGTGGTCTCTGGAACTATGCGGTTAGCAGGGCTGAGGAAGCCTACGCAAGAGCCTGGGTCAGGTCTAACTTTGGGCTGCCTGGTGGAGGTGACTACAGATGGAATAAGAAGACATGATGGCTGTAGGAGTTCATGGGTGGGTAGGGGACAGAGTTGAGGAATATAAAATACGCAATCATGGCAATTGGGAGGGTTGCAGTTCTGAGCCACCTTGGAGGTGTATAAACAAGGAATGAGAAAGTGATAAGAACAAGCCTCATGTGAGAATTAGCTGTAGGATAGTACGGACCCTGACCTCTGAAGGCAATTTATGAATAACTGGGGCCAAAATTATGGTCAACAGTGTGGTAGGATGGTACAAAGGATAACTTAGAATGGAAAGCAAAGAAACTGGCCAAGAGCTTAAGGCTAGAGTTTGATGATTAGACAATCTTAACTCTGCCATTCATCAAGTACATGACTGACCTCTTTTGATCGTCACTGTCTGTACCTATAATACGGTGAAAATAAATGCACTGTCTTTGAGGGTCCTCACACCTGTGAAGAAGGCAACATTCACAAACTTGATAGGTAGATACAGCATGTGAAAGCTGCACACAGTTGATATTTATTTTTACTCCTTTATTCTGGATGGTTTAGTTTCATACTTTCATAATCATTTGTATATTCCATTTTTAATTTCAACCTAGTAAATAAAATATATGTTTAATGCATGTGGAGCTATATTGTCCCTGTCCAAACATTCCACAGGACTTTTTTCTGGATCAGGAAATCAAAAAGATATTCTGGAAATAAATCAATAAAATAAACAAACTTTATCAATAAATTCACAGGACATTTGACCAGTGTTACATGGATAAGTTGTTGACTTTTTTAGTGGCCTTGCAGGCATTTCACACTACTTTCTTATCCTATGTGAAAAAAAAGACCACATCTACAGTTACTGCCTGGGTATCCAGTAGGCAGTTGAGAATGAACTTCCTCTCTAGAGGGACAGGGGACACAAGAGCCAACTGGATTATAAATAATAAAAATGTCAACGACAAAAGAAAGACATCTTTGAAAGAAGTCTTTTTTTTCCCCCTTTGGTTTTTTGCAACAGAGTTTCTCTGTAACTTTGAAGCTTGTTCTGGAACTAGCTCTTATAGACCAGGCTGGCCTTGAACTCACAGAGATCTGCCTGCCTCTGCCTCCCAAGTGTTGGGATTAAAAGCATGTGCCACCACTGCCTGGCTTAAAGAATTCTTAAAGTCATTAGATTAAGGACTAGGGAGATGTCTCAATTGTTAAGAGCTAATGTTGCTCTTGTTGAGGACCCAAGTTCAGTTTCCAGCACCCAAGACAGACAGCTGCCTGCAACTTTAACTCTAGGGGATTTGATGCCCTATTCTAGACACCATGGAAGGAACTTGAAGCAATTGGACACTTTCATCCACAGTCAGAGCAAAAAACAATGAATTAATACATATACATGCTAGTGCTCACACACACATACACACACACATATTTGTCATTCATACAATAAATAATTGACTACTTAGGGAATGGTGACACCCATTTTGGATGGATCTTCTCATTCTAGTGTAATCAAGAAAATTCACCACAAGGAAACCCAATTTTAATTATCATTCACTGAAACTCCTTTCCCAGGTATTCTAGATGGTGTCAAGTTGACAGCTAAACTAACCATCACACTAATCAACCAGTCATTAATCAGTAAAAATGGTAACAATTACAGGTATTGTAAAGGAAGAATATGAGAAGGTAAAAATAAGAAAACAAATAACAGGAGAATTTGGCTAAGGAAGGGAAAAAAGTCCAGGGAAGGTAGAGCTACCTGTGATCTGAAGAAGGAGTTAGTGAATCAGCAAGGATCCTCAAAAAAAATACAGTACGCCTAACAGGATTATGTTACTAAAACATTAAAATGTCATATTTTGTAGATCTTTGAAGTGTTTAAAGGTCATTTATCTATTTAAAACGTCTCTGACTAATCTTGAAAATATTCCTAACATGGCTATAAGCTGGATTGTTATAGATGAGTAACTATTAAACTGTATTTCCTTATTATACTAAATAGCTTTCAAGGACTAGAACTTTACAATGTTAAATGAGCTGCATAGGTACAATACCTTAAGCAAGAATAGAAGCATATATACAGTATAACAGAAATAACCTTAAATTTATATCAATATATACAAATATCTTAAACAGGAGTATAAATATGTATACAGTATAACAACCTTAAATTTGTATCAATATACAGCATAGGGCATTTCATGACAGTTTGCTCCTGGCAGTACCAATTTACTCCAAAAGAGTTTGCTTTAATTTGTGGCAAAATTAGCAACTTGGAAAAGATACTTCCCTTGCCTCAACTTCTGACACTGTGCTCTCAAAATTGGATAAGTAGGACACAAAAGAGGGCATCTACAAAACTTTGCCAAGACAAGGTGGAACAGTCCTTCAAAATTCCTACTTCACAGAGAAATTAGATATTCTAGGTCTGTAAGACAAAGATGTATGCTCCCATGTTACAGAGGAAACTTACATGACTGTCCATGTAGCCAGCTGTTTAAGTCATCTCTTAAAGTTTTGGAAGTTGCTTGTTCTACAGTTCCTATTTACTCAGGTAATAGTATATCCTTCTTGGATATTTGATTGGGTTGAAGACTGCATAGGTTGGAAAACTAAAATGAATGCAGGGAGAAAAGGAAGGTGGAGTCAGGCAGATGCCATGTAGCCACTCAAGAAGCAAAATGTGAGCTAACAAACCATGAGCTTCATGGTAAAATATAAAATAATAGAAATGGGTTAATTTAAGATGTAAGAGCTAGCTAGGAATACACCTGAGCTGTTTCCCAAACAGCATTGTAATGAATATCATTTCTCTGTGATTATTTGGGTCTGGGTGGCTGGAAAATGAAGATGCAGTTTCCATTTTCATAAATATGTGTCACTGTGATTGGTTTAGTAAAGAATGGTTATTAGCTAGGAAGGAAGAGGTTAAAATAGGTGGGAAAGTCAGGGAACACATCCTCAGGCTACATCTTAGAAAATGAGTTTCTCAGGTAGAAACCTGAACAGAGGAATGTCACCAAAGTGAAATAATTAATAACTGTATTTCAATTACTAAAAAAGAAAGCCATCCTTATGTCTCAATCATTTGTCATAATAATGTATTCTTGTCCATCCCATCTCTAGTGCCTTCTGGGTAGCCAACCTAGAAGCAAATATTCTTTTCATCATGAATAGACAATCTCAATTTCTCTGGATAAGAGGCAGAAAGCACCAGTGCTCAGGACTTGTAGGTTCCCTTTCTAGTTTCCAGGATTCTACAAACTGAACACACAAATCGAAAGATTTGATGATAGGATCTACCTACATATCAGTAAAAATGTGCCTTTTTGTCTTTCTAGGTCTGGGTTACTTTACTCTTATCCCATCTTAATGTGGAACTATCATAAATCAAAGATGTATTTAATACACCTAACCTATCCAAATCATAGTGTGCCAAGGCAACATCATGTGACTGCAACTCAACTTAGACGCTCCATGGCCCATGGCAGTATACCCATATCACTAGTGCAGAGAATGTTCGGATTTCAGAACTGGTAGAACAGTTTCTGCTGAAAATGGATCCTTTCTGCATCTCTACAAAGTCAGAAATTCTTCAGTGGACCCATTGTAAACCTGAGAATACTGGTGTTGGAAGCTTATGTTGGACCCTTAGCCTGAAGTGACTTATCACATGCCCTAAATATACTCTTGGCATAAGTGACCCTTTGCAAGTACAAGACTTAGGGAATGTTGTCCTAATGAGGTGGTAGCTTCTGACCGACTCTGTACTGAGAGAACAAAACCCTTTGCTTGACTGTTAGCTGCCACTAACTCAGGGAGTGGCACCAGATAGAGCCAGAATCAGGAAAGGAATGGAATTCTTGAAGAGTAGGAAGAGAGAAGAATATGGAAGAGGCTTGATTGTTCTGTTGCTTAGCATAGCAGAAACAGCCTAAAGTGACCTTCTTGTCCTTCTCCAGATATGTGAGGCCAGTAAAGGTGAAATATGATCAGAAGTACATCTACCCTGCCCTTTTCTCTCATCTTTTCCCCCACAAAAAGAGAACCACTGGAGCTGGGAGATGGTTCAGCAGTTGAAGCACTTACTGCTCTTACAGAGGCCCTAAGTTCTATTCCCAGAACTCATATTGGTGGTCACATCTGTCTGTTAGCTGATGTGGGATTTCTTTCTGTATGCTGTGATTACCATTGGTTAATAAAGGAACTACTTTGGGCCTATGGCAGAACTATAGGGAAACAGAGCTAGGCAGGGAAAGCTAAATTGAATGCTGGGAAAAAGAAGGGCAGAGTCAGAGAGAAGCCATGTAGCCCCTGTGGAAGACAGACACTAGGAACTTTACCCGGTAAGCCACAGCTATGTGATAATACACAGATTAATGGAGAAGGGTTAAATTAATATGTAAGAGTTAACCAATAAGAAGCTAGGGCTAATGGACCAAGCAGTGTTTTAATTAATACAGTTTCTGTGTGATTATTTCAGGCCTAAGCAGCCAGTAACAAACTAGCGGCCTCCCTCCTACAGTTAACTTTAACTCTAAGAGATGTGATGCTCTCTTCTGGCCTCCAGAGGCATTCCCATTCATATGCATGCATGTGTATATGCCCACACAGGTATACACACACACACACACACACACACACACACACACACACACACCTTAATAAAAATAAATCTTAAAATAGAACCACAGCAGTGTAAAGAGCTAGCCACTGAATTATCATACAAGTTCTGTTACTCACTTGCCATATTATTTATTGGGAAGCAGTCATCTTTGTTTTCTGTAAGATGGGAACAACACTGTGTACTCTCTGTCTCAAGAAAACACAAAGACCAGACAGAATATCTGGCAACATCCTCTGGTGCCGTATGCATTCCTGCAAATACGACAAGATTTTCTTGCTTTCTGTTGCTTCCTTCTGAGGGGGATATTTTTTCCCCAGGGCATCAAAATATAATTTAACATCTGCCAATGTCCTCAAATATAACCAATTCTGTGAAATTCTACCAATGGTAGAATAACAAATGAGCTCAATATACTTTTCTGTGAGAACAAAGAGATATAATTAGAGGACACTCTGGCTTCCTGAGGTGTTGTGAGGGAAAGTGGAATGGGAGTGTCTGTGGGCCTGTCCTCGTGGGCACTCTTGCAGATCTCATTTGGGAAGCGTTCAGGCAGAAGGTCTCCAGATAGCCAAGTGTTTCCTCTGCAAATTACTGTTTTACCATAGCTTTTCTGCTTGGCCCCATTCCCTGTTTCTGAAGTTGCATGACTTAGGTCCATAAGGAAACATGTTATGCATCTCCTTACCTTCACTCCCTTGTCACATGAGTAAAAATTCACTTGTTTACTTTTCAAATAGACACACAGGCAGGATGCTGGGGGAATTATCCAGATCATGATAGCAAATGATCAGATTATTTCCCAGAGCCCATGCTCCTTTTGGAAACAGCCATATAACTAAAGGTATTTTGACTCAGAGAGGGGAAAAAAAGGTATTTTGACTGAGAAAATTGCCTTAGTCTGTGTGCTAGTTTACATTGATTGACAACTTGACAGGATCTAGAATCACCTTGGAGATAACTCTCTGGGTGGGTCTGTGAGGAACTGTCTTGATTAGAATAATTGATATGCAAAGATTCAGCCTAAGTGTGAAGAACACCACTTTACCAGCTGGGGCAGGTGGTGGTGCACAGAAAACGGAAAGCAAGCTGAGCACAGATCTCTGCCTCCAAGCTGCAGATGTGTTGTGACCAACTGCCTCATGCTCCCGCTGCCATGCCTTCCCCTCCAGAATGAGCTATAGCCTTCAAGTGAGAACCCAAACAAGCCTTTCCTTAAGTGGCCTTGGTCAGACATTTTGCTACGGTAATAGGAGAGGTAACAAATACAGCTCGCCATTCATGTTTCTTAGTAACTTGTGATCGGAGGCTGTTAATGGACCATCCTACCAAATGGACCAATTTGGCAAAAGCTTTGCTTTGTTAAGCATCCCCCTATTTCTTACTCTCTGTTTTCTCTTATCTTGCCTCCACCTCTCTTTTAAAGCTAAACATTTATTTGCTTTAATCCAGATGATCAAGAAAATTAGAAACACTGTTCCAAGTTGTGTTTTCTGACATTTCCCCCCCCCCAAAAAAAAACCAGAGGAAGAACAGTGTGGAGGCATTTCTAGGGCACCTGTCACCAGAGCATCCCTCACAGCCAGGTACAAGCGCTGTTCTTCCTTGAGAACTTCAACTCTAAGGTGAGTCGACAAGGGTTCTACAGAGTCTTATAATTATGGTGCCTCTCTCTTTTTGTGGTCATGGGTTTTTCTCTCCACCTGAGTGTGGCCTCAGCTTCCTAAATGACAGCCATGCCAGCTCTCAAAATGGACCATGCCAAGTAGATGATGCTTTGCCCAGGAAGAAGGAGGAGAAGAGAACATTGGTTTTTCTGCAAGCATAGACAGTCTGACAGCCAATTTGGAGGCTGGGTGACATTTCAAATTGGTAATGCTCCTAATTACTCAAGCCCTAGGAAACCATATGGAATGCAGCCACCACTCTAGAATTAATACAAGTGAGCACAGTGAACCCATTACTGACAGCATGTTCTACTGAAGTAATGGCATCATGTCTGTGTCAGCTCAGTGTGATATTACAGTTAGAGCACACACACACACACACACACATGCCCACGTCAAGTTAAATGTCTGATTCAAAGCTAATACCCAAAAATCAAAGTCACTAAAGAAACAGAAGTTTAAGTAATTTGAAATTTCAGTGAACAAACCATGAGGTTTCAGCTTCAGTCGTGCTGGGGAGAGGGAACTCAGCCTCCACAGTACATCCTTTTCCTTTTAATGCACAGGCCCAAGTGTAGTACCTTGGCCCAGAGACTGGTGCTTTTTTTTTATATGAACTCTGGGTCTAAATGCAGAGAATAGAGAAAAGTTTCTAGCCACTCTCTATCCTAGGGCTAGCCCTCCTTTCATAGGAGCTTACCCAACCTTGTAGGGTGAGCTTGGTACAGAGACGCATGTCCCACTTTGGGATTCTGTAAAATTTTCCCACTATGCATTGCTCAACATCTCCAATTCCACACAGTGTTGGAGAGGATTTGCATTTTGCTCATGCTGATGATCTGGGAAGACAAACTCTGCCTCTTCTTGGTCCTAAACATCCCTGAAAGCAGCCTTTCAGGGATCATAATAAAATCATAATAAAATCAGGGATCGACATAATTGTAGAAACAGTTTGAGGAGCACACGTGAAATACCAGCCATTGTTTTCTATGTTGGTTTTACACTATCTAGTCCCCACAATCAACCTAGAGTGTGACTGTTAGTGACCTCATTTAGTTTTAATTAAATTAAAAATAAATCTAAGAGATTCCTAACTCCACCAAACTAGAACCATAACCAAGAATCAGTACCAGTCAGTACTTTAACTAAGTCTGACTTCTGTGCTTAAAGTTGGCCTTGGGCCAAGAGCCAAGCACCTGTTTGTATGTTCACCACTTGTATGTTTTTATTTTTCCTTTTCTAGGTTGTTCTAGATGTTGGCTGTGGATTTGGAATACTGTTTTTGTTTTGTTTTGTTTTGTTCTTTGTTTTTGTTTTGTTTGTTTTTTCTATGGATGCTGGAGTGAGGAAGGTTGATGCAGTGAAATCAGATCAAGTAGCACAGGATGCTTAGGTAAGTGCTTGTACTTAAAGGCGGACCTTTATTTGGTCTTTGAATGCTTCAGGGTATCAAATGATGTGACCTTCTGGTAGGTTGTTTAGAATAGCATTTTTATTTTTAGGTTATTTTAGGTTATGCCTTTTCTCCGCCCCACACACACACATTGGAATGTTGCTGCGCTAGAGCCCAACTTCCTTGTAGTAATTCATAGAAAACAATTTTTCTTTATATTTTAAATTTTAATTTAATTTAAAATTTAGTTTAAGAATTAAAACACAGCATGCTTTCTCCCTTCCCATCTGCCTTGTGGCAGGTAGTGTGGGGCAGTGGGTGAGGATGTGTTTATCTTTGATGCCCAGGCGAAGAATCAGGTCTCACTGAATCTAGATTCCTTTCCTCTCTTCCAACCTTGTGCTTATGTCATACTAAAGGCTGTAATTGGCATTTTTGCTTACTGATAACTATGCTTCTTGGCTTTTGTGCTCTATCTTCTGCAAGGTACTTGTTCATAGATTTGGACAATTTTCCATGTGAATCAATTCTAATTCATTCGTAGCAACAAGGTTCGTGGCCTCTGTGTTAACCTACATGAGCTGTATAATCTCTTCGGCAAATGTCTTCTCCCGGTTGGCACGTGACCGTCACTTCTTCCTGACGGTCTTGTCTTTGAAAACATGAGAGATGAAGCTTGCAGAAAGAGAGACTCATGCATGAAAACCGCTCTTCTTGAACGTTAAGATGTGTCCCCGAGAATGAGGCCTTAAGGTCTCAGGTGTAGCCATCTTTGTTCCGTTGTGTCCTTCAACATTGTTACTGGGTAGTGTAGGAGAAATAATAAAGATTAATATGTATTCTTAAGTTAAAATTTCAATCCTAATAAGGAATTAAGCCTAAGCATTTACTATTAGCAATAACCCCCTCCCCAGAGCACAGTGTAAAAAATTTAGACATATTCTGTTTTTCATAGAGCTCGCTTTGTGAAAAGTATCGTGAGGACAGTATAGCTGTCTTTAAAAGCTTAACCTTAAAAATCGAGGATCCTCTTTTGTACCAATTTAAGAGAAAAAGAAAACAGTTAACTGAAGCTATTCTTGTGTTCCCCATTCCTAACATGGTCTCCAGCTCCAGCACAGATTCCCAGTAATTTTCAGGGACCACTCTAGAACCCTCAGTTTGATTGACAGCTGCAAAGAAATCCTCATTTCACTTAAGAACCTTAGTAGGTTGGTTGCCCTCTCAGGTGAACCAGCATGTGGCTGTGTTCTCACTCCGTGTGGCTGCCACACCAATGGTGAGAGCCTTAGGCAAGAAGCTAATACAGACAGGAAGAAAAGGATAAAACAAAGTTTTAAAAAATTTTGTTTAGAAATAATTTCAACCTCCACTTCATCTTCAAAACCAAAAGAGTTTAAAGACTGTTCCAATAACTTTAGTTGGTTCATCTATTTATGCTTACCCCATTGACGCCTTTGTTCTCTCTTACCATAACTGCATACACATGAACATTTGTATAAACTCATTTATGTATGTGACTATATTCATGCATATACATGTGTGTTTATATGCAAAGAGACACACACATTTAAAGACATATAGACCTGTTTTCGGTGGGTCAGTTATATACATCATAGCCTTTGTCTAAACAGAGCAGTGTGATTTTTCCTAAAACCGAAGCTCTTCTTTTGCATAAACTAAAGAAGAACTAAATTTAAAAGCAAAAAGGAAGCTGTAATGTGATAATATATGGAGCCATCCAATGCTGAAGTTTATTCATGGAGTTAGTGGAGACCCCAGCATGAATGGAGAGGCTGTAGCCCTGGTTGTTGAGGTGAGAAGGAACTGCTTAATTGCCTCTTCCTTGAATAACATTTCCAGGGATACTTGATTTTCTTATAGCACTGAAACTAATATTCAAGGGAAGCTTGCAGGGGGAGGTCTAGATGTGCAGCCAGAAAGAGAACATCAGGGTACCTAGGGTTGATGAAAATGCATGGCATCTTTCAAAATAGGTAGCAGAAAAGACATTGAGTGTTCCTGACATTAAAAAAAAGACACACATGGCATGATGGATGAACTAATTGCCCAGGTCTGATCACTGCGCAAGATCCACCTGCATTCAAAGAGCCACTATCCCCCGTCCATGTGCATGACTGTGTGTCAATTTAGAAATGCAGTTAAAAATTAACATGCTTATCAAAGAAAATAAGACCCCAAGTCATACTCTGTCAAATTCCAAAGCAACATGGCTTGCAGAGGACTATGGTGTTGATACACACACACACACACACACACACACACACACACACACACACACTTTTTTTTCCTGTGTACTGTCAGAGTGAACTGGAAACTGGGAGTCCTTGAAACCCTTGCTACTCAGTCTGCTCGGTCCCAGGCTTTCCCTGCATGTGGTCTAAATGCAGGCTGGTTAAAAGTGCACTCTGGTCTATTGAACACCTAGAATTTTCTCCAAGGATGGGTTTTAAAGACACAGTCTTCCTGCTGTGTGGGTCAGGGCCGTTCCCTGTGGGCTGGGTCCCTTTGCCCTAGGAGGTTGAGCAGCCCCAGTTCACGGTTTCCGCTGCTTCTTCCAACTCTTGTCTGCATGGTTTGTGGGTGGCAAAATGTGATTGTGAACAGCACAAAAAAAAAAATGATTCTGCCCCTAAGAATAGGCTGCTCTGGGAGCCCGGCACACAGCGCGTGGCGCTCCTTTCGGCCTTTTCATTATTTGGTAATTGAACCGGCAGACATTTAATTCTTTCCTCAGGAGTCTTCATTAAATTGCTCAGAAAAGATAAAATCGCAACAAGAAAGAAAAACGTACAAATTTAACGACCATTGCTCATGCCTGGATTCTTCCTCACATGCCAGGCTTCTGGGCTTTAAGTAAACAGAATATTTTCAAATTGCATC